AGAATGTGAGTGAGAGTGTGAGTGATCGACCGAGAGAGATTGTGAGTGTCTAAGAGTGAAATAGAAAGTGAGAGTGGGAGAGAAAGTGTGAGTGAGAGAGTGTGTGTGAGAGAGAAAGTGTGCGAGAGATTGTATTAGTGAGTGCGAGTGAGTGACAATGTGACAGAGTGAGAGAGTGTGTGAGAGAGAGATTGTGTGAGAGTGTGTATAAGAGAGTATCATTGAAAGGGTGTGTGATAGAGAGTCTGAGTGTATGTGTGTGTTTGTGTGTGTCAGGGAGTGTGTGAGAGGAAAGTGTGTGTGTTTGTGTGTGTGTGTGTGTGTGAGTTAGTGTGTGAGAGTGTGTGTGAGAGAAAGTGTGTTTGTGTGAGATACTTTTTGTGAGAGAGTATGTGAAAGAGAGTTTGTGACTTGTATCAGAGAGAGAGTGTGTGACAGCGAGAGTGTAAGAGAGTGTGTGTGAGAAAGAGAGAGAGAGAAAGAGTGAGTAAGAGACAGAATGTGTGAGAGAGAGTGTGAGAGAGTGATAGAATAGATAGTGTGCATGAGAGAATGAATGTGTGTGTGAGAAAGAGAGTGTGTGAGAGTGTGTGAAAGAGAGTGAGAGAGTGTGTGCTGGAGTGAGAGAGTGTGTGACAGAAATTGTGAGAAAGTTGGTGAGTTAGAGCATGTTATAGGGAGTGTGAAACAAAGAGTGACAGAGGAAGAATGCGCGAAAGAGTGTGTGAGGTAGAGTGTGTGTTTGTGTGTGAGAGAGAGAGAGAGAGGGGGGGCGAGAAAGAAAGTGTGACAGTGCTTTAGAGAGAGAGAGAGAGTGTGTGTGTGTGTGTGTTTGAGAGAGAAAGAGAGGAAGGTGGAGAGAGATTTACAGAGTGTGTGTGAGGGGGAGAATGGAGAGGAAGGTGAGGAAGATAGATGAGGAAGAGTGAGTGATTGAAAGATAGTTGCAAGAGAGTATAAGAGAGTGGTGGAAGAAAGACAAACAGACAGACTGAAAGAGGGAAGCGAGAGAGAGAGAAGTGGAAGAGAGAGAGAGAGAGAGAGAGAGAGAGAGAGAGAGAGAGGGAGAGAAATAGTGGAAAGAGAGGGCGAGAGATGAGAGGGAGTACCAGTGACGGTAGAGAGTGAGAGGACGGAGGGAGAGAAAGCAGGGAAAGAAGGGAACGGGGGATGGAGAGACAGATTTAAAAAAGGGGTGAGAGGGAGGGATAGAAAGATGTGGAGAAGGAGGGGCGGGAGGGATAGAAATAGGATATGGAAAGAGAAGTGGTAGGGAAGATAAAGAAACACAGAGAAGGGGTTAGAGAATAGGTTGAGTGAGAATGGGTACAGGAGTGGAGGGAATGGAGGGAATGGAGAGCAGGAGAGGGTGTGAGCAAGAAGGAGAGAGAAAGAAAGAGAGTGAGGGGGTGTACAGAAATGGATAGAAGGGATTTAGACATAATTGGTATGAAATGAGAGGAATAGAGAGAGAGTGTGTTGGGGAGAGGGAAGGTAATGGATAGAAAGAGGGGAGAGAGAAAGGGAGTGAGAGGTGAAAGATAGAGGGGGAAGGGGAAGAAAAAGGAGAGAGAGAGAGAGAGAGAGAGAGAGAGAGAGAGAGAGAGAGAGAGAGAGAGAGAGAGAGAGAGAGAGAGACTGGTGGTGATTGGCGTGGAGGTTCTATTGAAAGGGAGATGACCCTATCAGCCTTAATCCGGTTTTGTTTCCTCTTTGTCTTGCAGGAAGTAGTTATTTTCTTTGAAGTTATGAAGCAAAAGAAATATTACTTTTTAAACTAAGATTGAATTTTATTTTTTTTCATTTATTTCTACAAGATATAATAGGTTTGTAACTACTTTAATCATTTTTCGATTTAAATTATTGTTTTTCTGATTCATTTTATTGTATATTTATTTTAAAATAGTATGGAAAATAGATGGCTGCTTCTTTTTCTGCAGCCCGTTATTTTGGTTGCAGCAAAATGGACGTTGCAAAGATTGTAAACATGTGTACTGATTTAGAATGCATATCAACCGCCGGCTTGTTGTTTTCAAGATGCTGGTATGGTGTAGACTTTAGACGTTGACCCACACTCACCTATCCCTTGTTATATTTTATTTTTGACCCAATACTAACACCATTCGTCTCATCATCACCACCAGTACAGCAGTATCATGGCACACCCTAAAAATTACTTTTTTATCAGATAAAACAGCATTCTTTCCTTGCAGGCCTCAATTTTCTTTTTTAAAAATCCCAATCTACCCCACTTTTGTCCTCCAATTCTTTTTTTTTACAAAGTTATAGGTCAGCGGGCAACATATATTCGCTTTAATTGTTAGCCTATCAATGTAACAAGATAACCGAGTTGAGTTTTTTCTTATTAACAATAAAACACAAATACATTATTTTATGATGTATGATTTATATAAGAAACGAAATATGATTGATACGTACATGTATGTTTCCAAATATTGGACAAATTAATATAATTCGCACCAACCTACTAATGCAGTAATTACAATTACAAATATACGGTACAAGGACAAAAAGAAAGAACGATTCACGGTATATCACAAAATGACAGGAATGAGTTCTAAACAACAGCAAAACAAATGAAGCGTTCACTCTAAATAGTGAACCTAATATTTAAACAGGTGTCACGAGATATTGCTTTACTTCCTGAACACTGGACATAAGACCCCACGGCCAAAAGATTTCATATATGGAGCAACACAAACACTCCCACAACATAACACTTTGCTACCAGTCACACTGGCCAAACAATCAAAGGTTATAGTTAGTTACCGACCGTCATTGAATCCTAGGTAATACAAACATGTAGCGCCCACCACTTTGGTCTGCAGCGCTCGATCATCTGTTACCTGACCCGTAACACACTTCACTCGGGTGCACGGCAGCCGTCCAAACAGCTCCGCTGCCAGCTCTATCATCAGTTTTCACAGCCGCTATGGTAACAGCAGTAAAGTCGACATGGTCAACTTCCGGTAACATGTAATGACGTTATATACGGTAAGCTAAAAACGATACAGTATCAGTCCTGCATTACAAAACAATAAACAGATTCAGAATCGATGAATCATGCATTTCATATAGCACTAAACGTTTCTTAACTAAATGCAACTTTGTAAAGTTCTTGATAAGTCACATAAATTAATAAAAAAAAATATTAGCATTATAAAATGCTAGTAGAAGCTACAGAAATACAAAAGTAAACGCAGTAGTACAATAGCTATAATCTACAGTATGCAGAAGAAATAAAAAAGTAACTTACATACCTCTACAGCTGGAGATATGCAGGTCTCTAAGTATAACGCCGACTGACAAAACGTTCCTTAATGTGTCGATTTAATCTTACAGTGAGGCATTTGTAGACAATGTAGCTTTACATAGTGTGTGCAATTCATGTATTTGGATTTTCCCATGGCGTGCGGCATATGATGAACCGAACTCACTGTTTCGAAGTAATGTAGAATATATATATATATATATATATATATATATATATATATATATATATATATATATATATATATATCTTCCTCGGGTATACATGTACACAAGAAACGAAACCCAAGTATATATATTTAATAAAGAAATTAATTTATACAATTCCGCGAAAATTAAATTGTATTTTTTTTGGGGGGGATTAATTATATTTCAATTTATGTTTCTTTGGTACACATATCTTATGTGTATGTTTACATTTTCTTTGTTGTTTTTTCTACAATCATTAATGTACTCAGTGATACAAGTTTTGCATTAATTGTTTATGTTTAGCTCTTTTGGCATTTAAGTTTTTCATATTTTTCACATACGTATCTTTTGCATTTAGTATTTTATTTTTATTACTATATATTTAGCAATAAAAATATACTACTAAATTTAATCTACTGACACTTTTCAAAATTAATTTAAAAAAGCAACATTTAGAATGATACAATTGTTATGTGAAGTATGACGTAAGTAAATGAAACATGACCGAAATATGTTGAAGCCAATCTTAGCACTATATTCGCGTAATCAAGCTTTGCTGTTCACGCAAGAGGCTTGGTCATTTTGTAAAACGTTTTCAATTTCCTTTCAATATAAATAGAAATTGAAACTATAACTGATGCAAATGCAAAGGTTAGACAATGCAACATATTCTTATACAAGAGAAGCGATCATGTTGCTAAATCACCCGAAAATGTAACTACACACAAGAGGAAAGATTCAAGTGTGGTTGAATATTTAAAACACGTTGGAAAAATGTTCACAAGTAAGTGTTAAATGTCAAATCAGAAAAATTACATCAAGAGCAAGCAGACAGCAAAGAGTCGAAGCAAAGCCAGGACTAAATAAATTTACAGGTACAAGAACCGAATATGAAACACATGGCTCAAACAAAAATTATTAATTGATAAGTCGTGTGCTTAGAAACTAAAATAAGTATTGCGCACGTAACTAAGTTGCTTATTTCGATTTCCTTGAGTCAGTTTACGACTGAGTCTCCAACAATAACTATGTATGATACCAGAGAAAATAATTTAGTAGATAAGTAGAGAACATTAAACGTTAGTGAACTTTAGGATATTTTTAGTCTTAAAAACAAAAAAAAACAAGTCAAAGAGAACGAGAAAGTTCGTGACATTTAAACTGACATGAGAAACAAAACAGGCATCCATTCAGCCAGGTATCTTACCATTCTCATACAACCTTTAGCTTTAAAAGCGATACTGTTATTTATTTCTTAGATCTAAATCTGGGAGAAAAGTGCGCGTGTGTGTGTGTGTGTTTTTTTAACGTATTTTTTAACAATTTTTCAGTCATTATCGCTACGATGTCTGCTGCGGGCAGCTTATAGTGATGTCTAGCACTGGGGCATCATGCCAGTTATCATGATGTACCACCGGGTCATATTATCCTGACACAGGTCGACCAGTCCTAAAATTAACCTCATAATTCTGAACGCCTAGAGAGGCAGCTGTTAGTACCGGTTTTATAATTTTTTGGTATGACTCGATCGGGGTTCGAACCCGCGATGCCCGCATCAGAGGCGGATGATCTAACCCCTATGCCACCGGAGCGGTCTAGGCAACAGAATTGATTTAAGGTCTATAAGACGGGAAATAAATAATGATTTGGTAAAGATACAGAACATAGAGAGGTGTCAGAGAATTACAAAAATATATATATGTTTTACTGGATAAGGGTTTGGATGTGAATATTTTCATATAAGACTGGCATAGATGTTAGTTTAGACTTTTAAGGAATTGCAACAGGATGAAACATCCGTAGTAGTTTGAATGGATTTGGTGCAAATTTCCTTGGGCTTTATTCAAATGCTTTCAAAGAAAAACTAGTGTAACATCAAGTTTTAAAACATGCTTAAATTATAATTTCTGTTATATTAGTTGTTGTAATCAAGGTAAACTTTATTGTTGTCATGGTGAGTAAAAGAACAAGCAATAACGAGAAAGGTCACCCAATATGTTACAATATAGTTACTGTCTTCGTCAGGTGCAATAATCTGAAGAATGAAAACGAAATTTGGTTCAACAGAAAAATAAAACATTGATGACTAAGAATACTTGTTAGAGTTGGATAAGAGAATAAGAGCAAAAAGTTGTTGATACATTTATAGCAAATGGCTCAAAAGGTGTAACTATGAAGTGTGACAAGTATAAACAAAGCAGGGAAATTTTAATATTTCAGCTGTTTGAATGTTAACTGTTTAAATCTTTGTCATTTATGCAGACACATGTTAGACAAAGATTATGTACATAATCTCTGAATTTCTTTTTCATGACTGTATCACAAAAAATAATTATTGATGCAAGTGTTAACACGACCTTAGCAAATTGTATATTTGAGATATCAATAGTGAATTTTAAATGAATTTAAATACATTGCAACAAGACACAAATGCTGATCCTGAAAAGAATCTCAATTCTAAAATGGCATTTATAATGATTACTATGGAAAATTGCCCAACATATAAAATAATTACCACGGAAGGATTACCCAATGTATATAATGATTACCATGGAAAGATCACCAAATGCATATAAGGACTACCATGGAAGGATCACCCAATGTATATAATGATTACCATGGAAGGATAACCCAATGCATATAACGACTACCATGGAAGGATCATCCAATGTATATAACGACTACCATGGAAGGATCACCCAAAGTAAATAATGATTACCATGGAAGGATCACCCACTGCATATAACGACTACCATGGAAGGATCACCAAATGCATATAACGACTAGCATGGAAGGATCACCCAATGTAAATAATGATTACCATGGAAGGATCACTCAATGTAAATAATGATTACCATGGAAGGATAACCCAATGCATATAACGACTACCATGGAAGGATCATCCAATGTATATAACGACTACCATGGAAGGATCACCCAATGTAAATAATGATTACCATGGAAGGATCACCCAGTGTATATAATGAATACCATGGAATGATCACCCAATTTATATAATGACAACCATGGAAGGATAACCCAATGTATATAATGACTACCATGGAATGATCACCCAGTGTATATAATGACTACCATGGAAGAATCACCCAGTGTATATAATGACTACCATGGAATGATTACCTAATGTATATAATGACTACCATGGAAGGATCACCCAATGTGTATAACGACTACTATGGAAAGATCACCCAATGTATATGATAACTACCATGGAAGGATCACCCAATGTATATAATAATTACCGTGAAAGGAACACCTAATATATATATATATATATATATATATATATATATATATATATATATATATATATATATATATATATATATATATATATATATATAACAACTACCATGGAAGGGTCACCCAATGTATATAATAATTACCGTGAAAGGAACACCTAATATATATATATATATATATATATATATATATATATATATATATATATATATATATATATATATATATATATATATATATATATATATATATATATATATATATATATATATATATATATATATATATATATATATATATATATATATATATATATATATATATATAACAACTACCATGGAAGGATCACCCAATGTATATAATGACTGCCATAGAAGGATCACCCAATGTATATGATCACTACGATGGAAGGATCACCCAATGTATATAATAATTACGTGGAAGGAACACCTAATGCATGTAATGACTACCATGGAAGGATCGACCAATATATAATAATTACAATGGAAGGATCACCCAATATATATAATAATTACAATGGAAGGATCTACCAATGCATATAATGACTACCATAGAAGGATCACCCAATGTATATGATCACTACGATGGAAGGATCATCCAATGTATATAATAATTACGTGGAAGGAACACCTAATGCATATAATGACTATCATGGAAGGATCGACCAATATATAATAATTACAATGGAAGGATCACCCAATGCATATAATGACTACAATGGAAGGATCACCCAATGTATAGAACGACTACCATGGAAGGATCACCCAATGTATATAACGATAACCATGGAAAGATCACCCAATGTATATGATGACTACCATGGAAGGATCACTCAATGTATATAATAAATACCGTGGAAGGAACACCCAATGTAGATAATGATTACAATGGAAGGATCACCCAATGTATATAATGACTACCATGGAAGGATCACTTAATGTATATAACGAATACCATGGAAGGATCATCCAATGTATATACCGACCACCATGGAAGGATCACCCAATGTATATAACGACTACCATGGAAGGATCACCCAATGTATATAATGATTACCATGGAAGGTCACCCAATGTATATAATGACTACCATGGAAGGATCACCCAATGTATATAACGACTACCATGGAAGGATAACCCAATGTATATAATGATTACCATGGAAGGTCACCCAATGTATATAATTATTACCATGGAAGGATCACCTAATGTATATAAGGATTACCATGGAAGGATCACCCAATGTATATAATGATTACCGTGGAAGGATCACCGAATTTATATAATGACTACCATGGAAGGATCACCCAACATATCCTTTCCATTACTGTAATATTAGTGTTATATTTGTTTTACTGGTCGCAATCTTAACGTTAACGGTTTTATCTGATTTGTGTCACTCATCACGCACTTCATTTACGTTGTTCTCCACCATTTATTGTTTAAGTATTCATGTCGGTTGGCTTCATGGTTGAATAAGAAATACTCTTGTCTTGCTCTGTGATACCTATTAGTAACATATTGATTCCCTTTTTTCAGATTTTCATTAAAATATATCATAATCTATAGGCAGTTTTAATTCTACATTACCTATTTTCACACCAGGATCATGAGAGTCCGATCGTTCTATTATAATCTTCCGGGTCTAGATACTGATTTACACATTTCCAAACTGCTACAACTATATCAAATAGCATTAATGTATCTTGATGTATCAGTCATGACGGTCACGGTCACCAAGCGAAATTAGTCCGAATTGTGTCGTGACATTTAAACCTACTGATACTCGTTTATAATAATTTATCTTATAAGGCTTAACATATCTTATTTTATTTTTCTTGAACCTTTCATTGAAATACAATTAAAATGTGGGCAAATGTCATGTCTGAAATATTTTGCCTCCATTTCCACAAAATTATGTATTACTTTTGTGAAATTATATGTCTTACATCCAAATTGGCACATGCCAGATAACTAACTCACTTTTAGTAATGCAGTGACTTTGAAAAAGTTTTTGCCATACTGTTCTACAATGACATGCTAAACAAACCAGATATATTTTTCAACATTTTTTAATAATTTTGTTACATTATGATTTGTGTATATCTTTACTAAGATTGTTATAACCAGATAATAATCCTTGATGGAAACATTATAAATAATGCGATTGAAGACGAGTGACACTTACTTTGTGCTGGATTTCTGTCATATCATTCGGAAGCATTTATTTGATCTTATTTCTTCATAAGCACTTTTTGAGATTGATAGTAATTATAATATATTGATTTTTAAACCAATGTTTTAGCTGACTCACCATTACTGCCTTTCATCAAACACACTTCCGTACAGATAGTAGAACACCTTTTACAATATTACCATGACAACAATATTTACCTAATTTATTAAAATCATTGTCATTAAGCAAAGACTCAGAATTAAATCTATCTAATTTGTGCCAAAAACCAACAATTTCATTTCTAGACTGACTATTGCATTTTGAATTATTGTTTCAAACAATTTGTTCCTTGATAAATTATGAGCGATAAAATGCAGATATATCACAAAGTAAATAAATCGTGCAAGAGAATGTATAAAATATCCCAATATCCAATTATGCTGCGGCATAATGCTATTTCGACATTTTTTCATAAATATTTAATACCTTAACATCAAAGTCTATAGTAAAAGGATTTTTTTCAAAATTTAGACCATAGAGACAAAGTGTTAAATTTAGGAAGCCAACACATTATTTAGAAGAAAATTAGTATGCAAGGAAAGTGATTAAGAGCAATATGAAGCAATAAATTTAAATGTCCTACATTCATGGAGAGTATTTTGAGCATTTTAAAAATCCTAGATTCAATGAGAGTCGATTGAGCATTTTAAAAATCCTAGATTCAATGAGAGTCTATTGAGCATTTTAAAAATCCTAGATTCAATAAGAGTCTATTGAGCATTTTAAAAATCCTAGATTCAATAAGAGTCTATTGAGCATTTTAAAAATCCTAGATTCAATAAGAGTCTATTGAGCATTTTATAAATTTTAGAATAATGGATAGTCTACAGAGCATTTTTAAAATCCTTGATCAATGGATAATCTTCTGAGTATTTTTAAAAGCAAACCTAGATCAGTGGAGAGTCTACTGAGCATTTATCAAATCCTAGATCAATGGATCGTCCATCTATCTGTTCATCTATCTGTTCTTCCATCCATCTGTCTGCACATCATACCACCAGTAATAACGACCCTTTCAAAACTCCGAATGCAACATTCTATCTTCAGATGGTAATTTACTACCCAAAACTTTCCTT